TTGATCAAAGCCCTGGCTTGATCACAGAACCATCAGGGTTAGAAGGAACCTCTGGAGATCCAATCCCACCCAGAGCAGGTTACACAGGAACATGCCCAGGCTGATTTTGAATGTCTCCAAAGAGGGAGACTCCACAACCTCCCTGGGCAGCCTGGTGTAATGCTCTGCCACCCTCAATGTAACGAAGTTGTTCCTCATGATGAGGTGAAATTTATTGTGTTTTAGTTTATGGCCACTGCTCCTCATCCTGTCACTCAGCACCACTGAAAAGAGACTGGCACCATCCTCCTGGCACCTGCCTTTGAGATACTGATCTGCACTGATGAGATCACCTTTAATCTGCTCTTCTCTGGACTAATTATGCCCAGCTCCTGCAATCTGTCCTCATAAGAAAGATGCTCCAAACCCCTGATCATCCTTGATCATCACTGATGCTCCTCAATCTTCTCCTCCTCCCATGCTCACTATTGGGGTTTCCACAAAGACAGAGTAATAGGAACACAGAATGGTTTGGGTTGGAAAGGACCTTAAAGCTCCTCCAATTCCAACCCCTGCCATGGGCAGGGACACCTTCCACTAGAGCAGGTTGTCCCAAGCCCCATCCAATCTGGCCCTGAGCACTGCCAGGCATGGGGTATTCACAACTTCCTTAAGCAATCTGTTCCACTGCTGCACCACTCTCACAGTAATTAATTTCTTCCTTACATCTAATTTCATTCTAAGATCAACCACCTCTGAAGAAGACACCAAGACCCTGCAACAAGAGGTGTCCAACAGTGGAGCATCTCAGCCCGCAAAGGAATTATACCCACAAATAACCTGCTCTAACAAGTCTTTGCATACACAAGAAGCACAAAGTAGCCCCAGTTTTTCTCAGTCCTATTTGTGGCTCCTAACATGGGGTGAGGCTCTCTCCTGATCCCTGTGTCCATGGGCTGAGACTCTCCAAGTTACTTGACACAAACCAGAGCCACGGCCCGACCATGATGGGAGTGTGTGGCTCCACAACTGGAATGAACAAGAAGAAAAAAGTATATAAATGACATATTTCACCCTCCTCTTTTGTGGCTTTTATTTTCTTTCGTATTCGCTTTGGGAATAACATTCTTTCCATTGGGAACAGCCTGATTTTTCCATTAAATACAAAGCAGCTGCCATTTTGGAAACAAAAAGTTGATTAAATACAGATCTTTTATATATTCTTCCCTAACGTATGAAGTGCTAGAGCCATGCTTCTTTCTGCTGATTTATCAGGGAAGAGCATCTGCCAACTATGGCAGTAGGAAGACTTAAAGAAAGTTAATGGAATTGCTTCATCTTTGCTATATAGTTTCATCATTCTAATTGGATGTTATAAATAAAAGAGGAAAGATCTCAAGGCTTGGAGCACAGCACGTGGCGCTCCAACACATTGACACCAAGGGTTTCTCAACCCTTTGCACACACAGGGATGCTCCAGATTCCCTATTTACGCAGATTCCTGCTTGCTGGGATGCTGAAGGAAGGGTCGGCACGTTGCTGTGACGTACGGCCGCCAGTTGGAAACGCAACTAATACATGACTTAAGGCCCAGATGTTGAACAGACTGGGAAAAGGGTGAGTTCAAAACAAAAGAAAGACTAAAAACCAAAACCCACCCACGCCATTTCCACTCCATGAGCCACCAACGCCCAATTCAGGAGGTATTCTTATTTTCCAAGCAGACCTGATTCCTGAGTGACCAGCACAAGCTACATACAAAACTGCAGCTTGGTTTATATTTTCCCCAAAACTAAACCCTACATTGAATTACTGGTTTCAATATTTAGTTGTTATATAGTTAAAAAATAGAGAGAAGAAAAAGACGGATGGTCAATGCCATAGAATTACAGTTACCCTGGATTTTAATTAACTCATTGGGCTCTCCTTATGTATTGCCCTTCACAAAATACAATGATGGAAGTTCATGGCCATCATGAGAAACCCATGAGGATCTGCACTTCTCAATGCTTTTTGTGCTCTCTCTTGCTATTATATCCAACCTAGACTGCAAGATCCAGGGAGAGCATTTCTCTCTGTAGAGGCACCCCCATGATGGCCATGCAACACCATGCCCTTAATTAGACCCACTTCAACCACACCAACAACATTCAACAGAGCTCACACGGCTCTCAGCTCTGAACGATGGGAATGAATTCCCAACCCTTCTCCACGCAACATCAATTCAAGCGACCGCTGCACAGGGACCCCAAAGGACATTGCACATGAAGGGTGGGCTCCTCTAGGGCAGGTGGGTCTCCTCCCATGGATAGGTTAAGGAAGACAGCTGGGGGCTTTGGATGCAGATGTGTTCATTGATGTTCCTTTACATGTTCACAACTTAAGAGGCACCTTACAAGGTTTCAGGTTGCCAGTGGATAAAAGAACAGGAAAGCATAAAATTGCAGTCTATTGTTTTAATTAAATTAGCTAAAGGGGATTAAAAAAAAAACCCAAACCAACTCATTTTTCAACTTCTGTTAGGGTTTTTGGAAGGCAGAGGCTGCGGCTCTGGTGCAGGAAGCAGGCACGTTTGGATTCCTTACACAGAGGATGGATTTTTGGCTGCCAGATCCCCTGTACTACACGTCTGTATGTACGTGCATGCAGAAGTGAGCACAAAATAGCTGTATAAATCTTAAGTTTGTAAAATAAAAATCAAAGCCAAACATGCCAAGGTGACTACACAAAGGGAAGCATTACCCAGGGAAGCATGCACACCCTGGTTTAAAGGATTTATGGGACTGGGCATTTTAGTTTCAATTAATTTTCAAAGTGCTGAAAGCAGACAAGAAACCATGTAATTACAAGATAACTTGGCTTACCCAGATTCGAGTTAACTAGGGCCCCTGGGTTAATCAGAGGTCAACCTTCTCCCCAGCCAACAAAGCCAAATCCACTGCATTTGAATGCTTTGCTCCTTGTTTTAAAGCAACCATTAGCTCTTGTTTCAACCCCTTCATTTTGGTAAGTATCTGGGATTTTGGAGACACTTGAGAAGACCCAGGAAAATAATGTCCAACCAACAGACCGCAGCAAGGGACCACACAGCCACCAGCCCATCTTCTCCCCACCAAAACACCTCTTTGAAGAGCATTTTGCCCAAGCTTCAGTACAAGCTGGTCTGTGCAACCCTCCTATGAAACTCAGATCATCTCTGGAGAGCAAAGAAGCTCCCTGAGGACCATACAGGGAGCATTTTGGATGCTCCCCATGCTCTGTCCATGTCTGCATCCCAGGCAACTCGCCTTGATTTTATGTGTCTGTATCTACACCAAGAAACTTCCAGGATTAGCCACAACTACTTCCCACCAGGCAGTTTAAATTCTGTTACAATCCCTCCTTTGTCTTGCTATTTTGTGCAATCAGATTTTTATTCGGCACTCTCTTTTAGACAGATTAGTGATTTATTTCCACCAATTCACACCAACTACCTAGAGAACAGAAAGTTAGAAGAGTTAAAAGGAAAACGAGAATCTGTTGCAGTTAAGAACAAAAGCAACTAAGAGCAGGCAAGCAAAGTCCCACCATATAAAGGGATTACTCCATCCCTGACCCTTTCCAGGGGACCTCCAGGTATTATTTTTCATTGATTTACCTTAATGAAACTAATGCACCCCTCTCCGTAGGAAGCTGACTCCATAGCTGTCTAGGCACTGGATTCAATTAAAGAAATAAATACATCTGGCTTCTAAATGGTCGAAAAGCCAGAGGCAATACCACTTCTTGCATCTGTCTCTCTTAGGGTACGCCCTAAGGACACCACATAGGATGCTCGACATTCAACACCGCTCCTGGAAGCTCGCGGAAGCAGGGGGATGCCCAAAGCATCCCAGCCTGCTTCCCAACAGCGCAGGCAGCTCCCACAGCCCTGCCAGCAGCCGAGTCACTGCTTTGATGGAAGCTGGCCTCAAATTGCTTTAACAAGGCTCTTTCTTTCCAGAAGCTGGCGTTGATTTGAGACCTCGATGTTGACTTAGAAACCCCCAGGTGCCCAGAGCCTGCAAACAGTCAAGGCTTAGCTATGCTCAGTTTCCAGGAAAAAGGGTACAAGCATCCAACCGTGGCATGAAATATCAATACTACCATGGCAGTTCAGCATTAAAATGGAGAGCAGGGGTTAAAGGTGGAAAAGCAGAAGCTGGGGTAGAGGCGACACCTCCGCGCCGGCCACATCTCACAACCGCATCGAGCAGGGCTGCACCAACATAAAACAAGGCACACTTTGCTCACACGTGCCTTGGCTTGCAGACATGGGAAGAGAGGAAACAAGGTAGCTCGAGAGCACTTTGTTTGCAATCTATCTGTGGAAATGCTGCTGCTTCTTCTCCCGCACATGAAACAAGCAGGAATGACAACAATTAGAGGGGTTCGTTGAACCAGAAGGCAGGTCCGAGAGGACTCCATCACTTTCTTTGTGCTATTTGCCCTAATCCAAATAGGAACATTCAAGCACCCACACTATTTCCTGGATAAAACACTATTCTACCCCTCTAGCTGGAGGGAACTTAGCAGTCCAAGACCCAGGTCGGAGGACTTAGACCAGGAGGATCATCAGGCTGAAATCCCCATGGGGGATTTGTCTAACAGAATACAGGGAGTGAGGGGGGATTTTAGAAAGAGCTTTCCTCTTTCAAGCAGAGGTTGAAGATCCCATCAAGCTTTCCCTAATAACATGCATTTCCCCTAATTCCCCATACATTTAGAGATGCATGGGGGATAAAAGGAGGCAGTTAAATGCCATGTGCTCTAAAAGCAGCAATTTAGCAATGCTACTGCAACAGCACACTTGTGGGTGACCCCTCTGGAAGGGAACCCTTTTCCCAGATCTCTTATTTATCCTATTGATTTAAACTTGTCCTCAGCCTTTTCCTTTCCTCCCTTCCAAGACTAAGGACCTTTTCTGGTTCAACTCACCCTCTTCACATCTGAGGTGCGAGCAGAGCAGACTAAATGCGTGCGACACGCAGTCTTGTACTCACCGACATTGTAGAGTGGACATCTACATCCCCCTACAGAGGACAACACAGGGAGTTTAAAGTCAAATGCAGAAGACAGCAAAGAAATAGCAAGAAAGGCAGAGCCACATTGGTCATCACCCAGAGGTGCCTACAACCAACCCATCAATGCTTTAACCAAGGACCGACTGCTTGACAGTTAGCAGAGTATTAGTAAAGCAAAATACGGGCTCTTTGAACCCAGTCGACAGATGAGGAGGAAATGAAAGTACCACAGGACAAGTTTTACTGCCACTAAACGTGTTCTGCCAGTCAACATCCATGTCCCTCAGCTTTCCCACCTGTAAGATGGAGATGATGGATGTCAAACCCTAGTGAGGGACAGCAGGGACCAGCTCAAGGCAAAGTTCCTCAGCTCTTCTGAGTGCATGGGCACGTTATCTAAGTACACGCAGGACCTGTGCAAATCTAAAGACAGTGTCTTTGGTGCTTATACAATGTCTTCATGATGCTTATTTTCCACTTGGGTCCCTCCCGACATGGTCAAGGTTGTGACTGGTGCAAAGTTCAAGGCATTTTACTTCCATGCACAATGCCTTTGAGAATATTAGAGAGGGATTTGGCTTTTTAAATAAAAAAATAGGCAATCGTTCCCTTTAAAGGAAAAATAAAACACTTGGAAAGCTCTTTCAACCAAAGCAAGAGCTGCCGGGGCTCGAGTATTCATCTGCATCAGGGAGGAGATGCCAACATGGTGAATAAGGCAAAACCGTTGCAGGCAGAGCAGCCGCAGCGTTCGCGTGGCTCCAGCTGAAATCTCTGCCTGCCATCTGGCAAAAAATAAGCACAAAAGGAAGAAAAAAAAAAGCCCCCAAAACAGCCCCCAAACCCCCTTTTGCAGAGAGTTCACACTGAACCGCTCAAAGACGGCAGAGGTTAGAGTTTGTTCGATCGCTGAAAGATTGCTTCCCTTTCCCGGGTCAGCATCACCTCTTGACCTGCCCTGATTACCTTCCAAAGGAGGTTATCAAGATACAAGACTAACAGAGGATTAAAGGAAGCCTAAAATAAAAACAAAACACCCCCCTTTTCCCCCAACCCTGCTCCCCTCCCCCAAAAAAACATCCTTGCTTTGTTAACCTGACAGTTCACTGTAGGTGTTGACACAACCCTCCATCTCCGAGAAGCTTAATGTCAACAAATCAGTGTGTTTGGAGTAGCCCTGTCAATGCGATTTACATTAACTTGTCTAACAAGAAATAAAAACAACAAGCAGCCATCAAAGACAAAAGGCTTTTTCAGTCATTCTTTTAAAAGTATTACGCTGGAAATGTTCATTTTTGGAGGCCCTTTACTTGCTGAAAAGCAGAAACCACCTTTTTTTTTTTTTTCTTCCTAAAATACATATTTTTCTCCCTAAAGTATTTTTTTCCTTTAAAAAATAAAATGTTTTTTCTTTTAAAGGACACCCAAGCATCCCATATTAATAAGATCAGCAGCAGCAGTAACCACCTCTCCCTGGTTAACGCAGGAAGAGGGCAGCCTTGAAGCCAAATGTTCATTGTGCTTTGCTTCCCACCAGCATTTTATGTCTTTGGAGACATTTGGGGCACTTTGTGGAGCATTTTCAAATTGTGGCTCTAAACCACCATGAAAATTCCATGCAGCAGCGGCATGCATCAAAACCCCATTAACTTCACCATGAACTTCTCCTTGCCCCCCGCTGGCACACGCCGTACCCACCAGCGTGCCCTTCACAGATGGGGGCTCAACATCCTGAGGCAAAGCTGCAAAAAGCAACTTGATTCCAGGGATTCCTAATATCGAATGGTTTCCACCAGCTCCCACAATGTCTACTCTGATGCTCTAAAGGAAAAAATAGGGATTGCAATTCCTGCTTGAACACTACAGTAAGTGGAGACTATGGCACTGCACCAGCCAGGACTAGCTTTCTGCTAGGTTATTCTTCCATGGGTTGGACCAGTTGACCCGGTTGCTTAGAGAGCTGGTAGATGCCCTATCCCTGGCAGTGCTCAATGTCTGACTGGACAGGGCTTGGAGCAACCTGCTCTAGTGGAAGGTGTCCCTGCTCATGGCCATGTAGACTGGACTAGCTGACCTTTAAAAGTCCCTTCCAACCCAAACCACGCTAGGATCCTATGGCCTCCAAAGGTCCCTTGCAAACTTTAACCATTCTGGGATTCCCCCCAGTAACTACAGGACAAATTCCACCTCCTGTATCCAAAAAGGGAAACACAAAACCTAATGCCCAAATCTTGGCTCAGAGTCACCTTTCAGCTCGCTCAGCATCTCTGCTCCTCCTCACCCCCTCTCCAAAACACTGACTTGGGTCAACCGGACCTCCCAAGGCCATCTGACCTGCCTTGCAGCAAGCTGGAGCCTTGACCCCAGAAAGGTTTCCTGCAGACAAGGAGCCCCATCCGAGACAATGGGATTACTCACACCCTTCATGTTAAGCAGCCGCCTGCATTTTTGCAGGCTCAGGACTTTCAGCTCCATCCTATTACAGGACAGCACTTTTTGTTGGTGTAATTTTAGCACAGCAACAGCAGACAAGCCCAGGCCGAGTTTCTCTGATCACCAGGTGAAGGTTTTTTCTTGGTGTAATTGCTGCTGTGACAAAAGGCAGGTGAGTAGCTTGGCTCCTGCCACTTAGTCATCTCCTGAGCCTGCCACTCTTCCTCTACAAAACGAGTTCCAACACTAGGAGAACGCTTTTCACTCTTAACATTGTGCAAATTCCACACAAAGGTACCCAATTATCACCTCTGGAAGACAGTGGAATGCCCAAGCCAGCAAAGGACATGAGAACAGAAAGGCATATGGTGGTGTGCTGAGTCCACCTCCAGTAATGAGAAGATGCTCCAAGGATGCCCCCTCCAAGGATGGTGCACAGTTACTTGCTTTCCTTCGTGAGCTACTGGCAGTCTGGAAATCCTACATTTTATAGCTGGACCAGACTGCAAACTCATTTTAAACAGGGCAGCATCTTCTTTTGGATCATAAGGCTACAGAGCTAATGATTTGGGCCAGATTTGAACCAGCAGTATAGGAATAGCACTACCAGCAATCGAGCAATATCCTCTTATAGATATCACCATTTCTGGAGATAGTTCCTTTCCCTCATTAACCCCTTTCACTCTTTCCTTTCACCAATAAAGCTCATCCAGCAGTTTTAGTGCTTTCATAAACATCTCCATCATTTCCCTGTATTTATTGCTCTAGACTGATGTGAGCTTCTCCACACCTTATCTCCTACCTCATTTAGCAAAGCGCAGACATTTTAATCTGTTTCCATCAAGCCATTGGAAAAAGGCCCTTGAACCCTATAAGATCAAACCAGCAGAGACACCAAAGGAGTTGAGCGCCTTTTAGATGCAGCCTGATTCTTCCCGACTCACTCTTACACACCGTTGCCTGCAAGGGTACACAGGGACCCATCAGCAATGCTCAGTGACGGCATCTTCAGAGCACTCCTTAAAGGAGGAAACTCAAATACATATAAAACCCCCAGACCTACATCTCCTACAAACCATTGCACCAGATCTACAGCTTCACAAACCAGATTGCAGCACCTGATTGACTTGTCTCCCCTATCTCCTGAGGCTATCAGGAGGATCAGTGCCCTGCAATGCTTTGAAGATAAGGTGCTCCACTGCAAATACAAACAGCCTTCCCCTGGGCTGGGTCCTTCCTAATCCAGTTCTGGAAGAAAAAAGGCTGCTTCAGTCTGTCTTGGTTCTTTTCAGACCAATCAGCTCTCATCCCAGCCTCCAAAACAATCCTGACTCACTCAGAAAGGAAACATTAATACTTGAAGATGATAAATCGCTCCAGGTTCATCTCATAAATCACTGTGGGCATCTCTCCCCATCCTCATCTCTCCTGCTAACCATGCTTCATGCTCTGGTGCAGAGACCAATCTCCCTGTCAAACTCCATTACTTGCTTGCATGAGTAATCCTAGCATGATTTGTAGAATTAGTCTACATCTACTAGTAGAACGGACATCTAATTGTAGAACGGATATCTAATTGTAGAATGGACATCTAATTGTAAAATGGAGCTACATCTCCTTTTGTAAGGAGAAATCCAGCAGCTGAGGAGTCCAGCCATCTCCAAGCACCTCCTGATCCAGAGGGCACCAGCCACACTGCTCAGGGCTGCCAACAGAGGGGACACTTTAGCAGTAAACCTGTCCTGAACAAGAAGATGGATGAAAGCCCTTTCAACCTCTCTGCACAGGAGCTACACTTTATTTAGCAGTTTGTTCTAGTGATAACAGAGCCAAACAAGCACCTTCCCTTCACCAACTCTGGCTACAGAACACCAGGAAAACCCTTTCATTTCTCTCCTGGTGGCTTCTCTCTATAGCAAATAAATCCTCATTTCCATATTGCTACCAAATCCTCCTGATAGAGGCAGCCATCTCAGACATGTAGTGATAGGACATGGAGAGACAGAACCAGGGTGAATGGCTTGAACCTGCCCGAGGGGAGACTTAGCTGAGCTCTTAGGCAGAAGCTCTTCCCTGTGAGGGTGCTGAGGCGCTGGCACAGGGTGCCCAGAGAAGCTGTGGCTGCCCCATCCCTGGCAGTGTTCAAGGCCAGGTTGGACACAGGGGCTTGGAGCAAGCTGCTCCAGTGGAAGGGGTCCCTGCCCGTGGCAGGGGTTGGAACTGGATGGGGTTTAAGGACCTTTCCAGCCCTAACCATGATAAAGACATGAGCTATACAGAGGGCTGCACAGCTTTGGGGCTGTAACACCTCCTAAAACTCTCTGAAGGGCTGGAACATCCTTCCAGTAGAGCAATCACAGTGGTATAAACAAGCAGAATGCAGTGAAGAAAACCACCATTGTGTATTACTAGTCTTTTTTTCCTGTTTATATCCAGGCTCATGAGAGATGCCCAGTGTGTGCTGGTGCTCTATAGCCCTGGGCACCCAGTAACACCAAATAAATAACAGTCAAGGAAGGAAGAAAGATCTGAAATTGCTTTTAGGACAAATATAGTGTTCAGTGGATTTGCTGTTACAAAATACCTGACAACTGAAGATACTCTGGAAGTATATATCCAGACAGCTCCCAACAAACCCTATTTAAAAGGGGGGAAAAAAGCTCTTTGAGCAAAAAATGAAACTCCCTGATGGTTATACTTTTCCTATTCAATGGGACACTACTCAGCCAACTGCAATAAAGCAACATAAAATACATTTTTGATCGCAATAACAGCATAAACACAGGCCTATTTTAGACAGCAGAGAAAGGAAAGAAACATATGCTGCCTTCCAAAGAGCAACATTCTGATGTAAGGCATCCAGTGACTTGACAAACATTTGGAAGTGTATCTGCAGTTCAAGTAATAGACACCCATACACTGGCATGTCTTGAAAAAGATCTTGAACATCCATTAATCTGAGTTAATGTATCTAAAATATAGGTGGCTGGTGAATTATGGTCCTACATGGTGGACTGTGTAAGTAGACTTGAAAATACCTGGGGAGACTCCCACTGAAGACCAGCTTCTGGTAACACACAGGTTTCACAGAATCATAGAATAGTTTGGGTTGGAAGGGACCTTAAAGCTCCTCCAGCTCCATCCCCTATCACAGGCAGGGACCTCTTCCACTGGAGCAGCTTGCTCCAAGCCCCTGTCTCCAACCTGGCCTTGAACGCTGCCAGGGATGGGGCAGCCACAGCTTCTCTGGGCACCCTGTGCCAGCGCCTCAGCACCCTCACAGGGAAGAGCTTCTGCCTAAGAGCTCAGCTCAGTCTCCCCTCCTATAACTTGTTATTTCATAACACTTGACAGTCCAGGGCCCCGTTTTCATCCCGCTCCATAGAGCTTGAGGAAACACTAGTTTCAACAGCACCATCAGATGTTCCTCAGCTATAATATGAAAGCAAACTGGTGAAGGTGACTTACGGGGAGGTGGGTGAACACCGCAAACGTGCTGCGTAGAAAGCCAATGAGATCTACAAGGTAGTCGCTGGCCTTGCTGCCCGGCTCCATGGCCATCCAGTCGTAGTCTGCCAGCTGCAAGAACTGGTCTATCTTCTGGTTCAGGTTGGTGTAAATCTCCTCCTCAGCAGCATGGCGGGCGTCCTAGGAAACAAGACAACATTCCATGGAATGGAGTCTCCATAACAACAAGCGTACACAACTAACAGGACATTGGCCCAATCTCTAAAGGCAGCACAACACAGAGCATCCGTAGGTAACTGCATGGCCACTACAGCCTCAGGTTAGCTGAGCCTGGTGGGACATGGTTACCAGGTCAGTGGGAGGCAAGATCAAGCTGGTCTGCCTCCGATCCAACCTAGGAACCAGGAGGACACATCTAGTGCAGGATGAAAGAGAGAGAAGAGGAATGTCTCATGAAAAAGGGCTGAGACCCACCAAATTCTGTGTAGGTCTGCCCTACAGGAGGGCCTGCCTCATTAAGAATAGGAAAACTTACCCTTAGGCAAAATAGTTAGATGATGACAAAAAGGAAAATGAATGGACTTCCCTGGAGACATGGGGCCTTAGTCACCTGCTGAGTTACCCTAAGGGCAAACCCCACCTGACTTGTTCCCTATTGTTACTTAAATCCTCAGCACTGTTCTGGTCTCCTGCTCTCCACAAGACACAGCCCAAACACCCCACAGTTGACCCAATTATAGAATCATAGAACAGAATCACAGCATGGTTTGGGTTGGAAGGGACCTTAAAGCTCATCCAGCTCCAACCCCTGCCACAGGCAGGGACCTCTTCCACTGGAGCAGCTTGCTCCAAACCCCTGTGTCCAACCTGGCCTTGAGCACTGCCAGGGATGGGGCAGCTACAGCTTCTCTGGGCACCCTGTGCCAGCGCCTCAGCACCCTCACAGGGAACAGCTTCTTCCTTATATACTACCTAAATCTTCCCTATTTAGGTTTAAACCCATGACCCCTCTTCCTATCACTACAGCCCGTGATGAAGAATCCCTCCTCCAGCATCCCTGTGACGCTCCAAAGACCAAACCCAAAACCTAGTCTGATGGCACCAGCTTCCCAGGGTATGACAAACCTACCTCTCAGCTCAGCTCAGCTCCCTACATCCACACATGTACTTTGAAAGCAGATACTCTCCAACCAAACATCAACTTTCAGGGTGGATCTACCAAGCCTTCTCACCTTGAAGGTTGTGGTCCCGTAGAGTTTCGTAGTGTGGACAGTTTCTGGAAGTACATTAGTGATATTGGTTATGAATTCCTCTAGGAACTTGCAGGATTTCTCCAAATGGGTCGTATTTATAATGATCTGTACAAGCTGCAAAGGCAAAAGAGATGTTCAATCATTGTGCTCCTGAAGCCAGGGATGTGACAGCTTAAAGGATGCCAATATCTAAGAACTTCTGGCACGAAAAGCTGCTGCTGTACAAATACACTAAGCTTTTCTACACACTCAAAAGCTTTCCTCCTTTAAGAACATCAGAAACTTAAATAAAAGATAATTCTGGGGGAAAAGCACTTCCCATGACAGCCACTAATACCACAAAAGGTTATTTATTTTAATGACTTTCCTACATTCAGCTGTCAGTCAGCGCTCGCTTCAGCACAGGTCAAATACAAGAGGCTTGCCAAAAAATGCCCTGTCAAATCACAAGTGTTCCAGCTGCTGCTGTAACCCGTACCTTGAGTGACACCACGCAAGCTCATAGCGAGGCATTTAACAAAGAAACAAGAAGGTTTTCCTTTTGTGAGATGAGCATCAGGTCTCACCCTGGTGTCTTCTCAGTTATCATACCCACCAGTTACCATTTCCTTAATGCTGTCATCTCATCTGCCTTCACACAGCGCTATTTCAGGACATTAAAGGTAACTACAGAGTAAAAACCTCTGCTGAAGTCAGTCAGCATTTACAGTCAGATGTCATCAGGCATTCACAATCCAGAGCAAACCAATCCGGGCTTCCACTTGAGGACCACTGACTTGGAAGCATCATTAATCCCTTACGCAGATACCTTTTCCCCAAGCAGGCTCCTGTGAATGTCTTCAAGGTGCAACATCAGCTCTAACAAAGCCTTTCTAAATAACATCTAGCTCAGATACCCCGGCCAAAACAGCTCTCCTACAGACACTGAAAGCATTACAATGCTCCAGATTGCTATGATTCGATTGCTGAGGTACAGGGTGGCAGGATGCAGTCACCTCTCTACAGAAATGATTTTGAAATGCTCACAAACGTTCTGAATGAGATGGATTAATCAGCAATTTGAGTGCTGCAGGCACAGAAATACTGAAGCAATGCTACACAGGTTATAGCACCCAACCCTTGCTAGTGCTGGATGCATGAGAAAGGGCAATGGTGACAGTCTGGGAGGTTCAGCTTGGATATTAGGAAGGAAAAGAGTCATTACAAAGGGAGTGCAGAGCTAGAAGATGGTGTCCTTAAAAGCTGTGGGACCTCTGTATGGGAAGAATTAAAAGTTGGGTAGGAAAAGCCACAGTTGACATGATTCAAATGAGCAATGATTCCACTTCCATATCAAGCTAGATACCTGCAGAGGTCCCTTCCAGCTAACACTTCTTTGATTTCCATCAGATTTTGTCATTAATAAATGAAATTACGATCTACTTGAACTCCTCTTGTTTTGTACTTGCTCCATTAAATGTACTACATAGATAGCTGAGAGGGCTTCTCGTTTCTGAACTCCTTGGATTAGTTTTGTTCTCAGTTTTTGCCTTCAAACAAGTGTTTCCCTGTGTCAGATAGCTCTGACATCATGATCACAATATGTTCTCCTATAAAGGTAATTAAATACTGGGTATTTCCAACTGTGTGAAATTTCTCCTAAATCTCTTCATTGATCATCACAATTTAGTTGTCCAGATCACTATCAAGTTTGGAGGCCCTGATTGCTTTGAATCTCTTCCACCCCTTGCTATGAGCTTTCCTGCTCCCTCTCTGGCTCCTTCAACTTCTGATCTTCTCTTGAATTCAGCTGGGTAAGACCTCCTCATTGGGGTATTCAAGTGATTAAAATAGGAGCATCTTTTCCCTCTTTTTTGTTGAGAGATGTCAGGGTTATTCAAAACACCAGCATCACTTGGAGCAGACTTGGTAATAAACTTTAACATCCATGCCTAAGAGTTAGCCCACAAAAAACAGCAATGAAAACTAAATCAGAGGACCACAGACCAGGAAGGCCAGAGCACAGCCTTGTATTACCTTGTCCACTGCTTGGAAAACTACATTGGAAAACCCAGATATGGATGACGTTGCTTTGTACAGAAACTAAATCTGGGAAGTGCCAGTTATACAAGGTACTTAAATACCTTCTGCAACCACTTCTGACACCAGGACTATTCTCATACGATCTGGGATTCTCCAACGTGCCCTTTAATTCCTGTGCTCCACACAGTCACACCAATGTCTTAAGAGGAGAAGATCTGAGCAACTCAGAAGACCACCATCATGTGCTTCCATACGGACAAACAGGTCAATGGTTACATGAAGAAAAGAGGCAGGAGGGGATGAAGATGCTCAAAGTAGCTTTCTTCAACCAAATTAGAAAAACAGTGGTGGTAGAGGCAACTCCAGGAGAGAGCTGGTGGTACCTTGGCAAGTGGTAAGGAATAAGAGGATGAAAATATGATATCCAGAGATGACCACCAGCCACATTAAACCTTTACTTGAAATTTGGGTCATGCTATATAAGCTTCCCTAGCAAAAATCCTCTTCAGCCCTAAAGCACCTGAAGAAGCCACTCCCAGACCAAAGAAAGGCATCACCTTCGCACATCATGGAAGATGCCAAGGAACATCGACACCATCCAAACTGGGCAGAAGCTGCAAGGGGACTGTGGCACTTGGTTTGCCCTTCCTACATTCAATCACGCTGCAACAGCAGTTAAAAGGATCATCTGGGGGATGGACAGTGTAGGGATAATGTTGCATTCCTCTGTGGAGGGAGCCCTGGGAGGAGCAGGAGGGAAGAGGAATTTGCCCCCAGGGAGCAGAGAGATTCCAGACAGTGAGATAAAGGGCTGAGGAAGCATCATGTGTAAATACATACCACTGTAAATGCACTGAACTCTCCTAAGCTCACCTCCACAGGGTATTTAGAGTGTCCAGAGAGCAGGACACATTTCTGTAGCACAGCCCATTAAACAACTGCAGCTGTATTAACATCTACTTGTTTAATAACAGCACAGAGAGGTCCCACTGAGGTATCAAACCACCCTGGGTACCACACACATTCCCAAACATCCATGATTTACATGCACTAAGCTTTGCAGAAACCTGACTTTGCACACAAAGAAATATCAGTTGTGAAAATACCAATATAGGGTTTACACTGCAGCAATGTGCTGAAACTGCTTCCAAACATCACCTATAGATGGGGACCTGTCACAGTTCCCACTTGGCTCTTCTATGGCGCTCCTTGATGTCCTCCTACTTTAATCCACATGTATAATGATCCATTAATTTGGAAGATGAGTAATGCCAACAGTAATAGCACAAAATCTTCTTTCCCACAATATAAAGCGCTCTTGCTTTGCACAGCAACACTGTGTGGTTCCACTGTTGCTTCCCAACCAAAGAGTTCAGAGTAAGGCTCCACACCAGCCTCTGTAAAGGTGCTGTAAGGAGTTCTGAGGACCAAACCCCCTTTCTGACCCCCACATCCCCTCAACGCCGTGTCCTACCTCCGTCAGCCCAACGTTCTTCCTCTTGATGACGGTCTGTAAACAGTTGCTCAGGGTTCGGGTCAGCAGCAGGTTTGTGGATTTCCTGATCATGTCATCGACCTCCGTGGAGCTGGAAAGCGGAATTCAAAGAGGTTTGCAAAATGCTCTGTAACAGAGAAACTCTTGAGCCCTCATCACCCAATCGCCTTCCCAACCCTCTTCTGCCCTACTCACGATGCTTGCATGCACTGACATACTAATGCATACCAAAATGACAACAGTTTAGGTCTTTTTGTGTATGGGTCCATAAGGAAGAGGGGCTAAAATGAGCTAAATCTACATCACTCAGCCCCTTCCAGGGGCTGGTCCAGCACAGCTTGCCTGTAGAGTCAGCATTAACCCACACAGCCAAGCCACCACCCAGCACACGATGCTGGAGTTCTGCACATTCAGTACACAAGTGGAAGGGACGAAAGATGTGAAGGGGGGGGAAACAACCCCCAAAATACCCCTCTCCCCACTAACACCTTCTCACAGCATTTTAAGTAAAAGAAGGCTCCAGGGGGACCTTAGAGCAGCTCCAGTGCCTAAAGGGGCTGCAGGAAAGCTGGAGAGAGGCTTGGGACAAGGGCCTGTAGGGACAGGCCAAGGGGAATGGCTTGAACCTGCCTGAGGGGAGACTGAGCTGAGCTCTTAGGCAGAAGCTCTTCCCTGTGAGGGTGCTGAGGCGCTGGCACAGGGTGCCCAGAGAAGCTGTGGCTGCCCCATCCCTGGCAGTGCTCAAGGCCAGGTTGGACACAGGGGCTTGGAGCAAGCTGCTCCAGTGGAAGGGGTCCCTGCCCATGGCAGGGGCTGGAGCTGGATGGGATTTAAGGTCCCTTCCAACCCAAACCAGTCTGGAATTCAATGATAAATCACATCGGAAACACTGGCAACACACTGATACTCCTTGCCAGCTGGTTGCAACCACAGCACTGCTGAAGCTTAGGGGTTTGGCTTTCTGCTGCTCCTCCACGTGTGCACCAGCAAGGTGCAACCTCTCCTTACTGAAGGAGGCTTTGGAAACCCACCCCAACACAGGCTCCTTTGATCTGTCATTGGCCCTGCATTAGCCCTGACACCACGGGGCTTTATCTCCAGCAGCGCAGTGACAGGCAGCTGAGGGCAAAGAAAATTCCCAACTGGAAGGCTGAGCAGTGTTATTAACTTTCAGGCTCGTGGTAAATCAATCCCGTGACCTTTTACTCCTTCTCCTGTTTTAGCTGACAAATGGCCCAAATTACAAAGCAGGGATTGACATGAGAAACAAAAGCAAAACTTGCAGCTCCCCCCCTACCAGTGTGAAGGGTTGAGGGTAGTGGGTGCTGGTACTGGGGGCCGTGTTGGTTGCAGGGATGGGCGCTGCCAGCCCTGGTCCAGCTCGACCGGCCCATATTTCTGTGCCTATTTAACCCTAGAGCAGATGCACTGTGCCAAACCCTGGTCCTTTGGGAAAAGAAGACTAAACCTTCTCCAACTGCAATAACTGCGGCCATAGCAGCCTTCCGGACACGCTCCTCCTCCCCACGTGCTGCCCATCCTTCAATCAACCCAACTTTGGAAGTTCTTCAGGACCTTCCTTGTTCTGCTGCATGAGGATTGCACTGAAATCCCTAAAACTCCCAGGAGAAGCAGCAAACACTGCTCCCCACTCACAACTCGAAGCAAAGTCATGTCTGTACTTCTGCCAGACCAAGAAATCCGTGTCTTGCTGCAGCTTTCCCAAGGAAAGCTCAGCTGCACAACTCCCCATGCACACAGCAGCTCCCCACACTCTGCTCCCCAACAGGTTCTTCTAATACTTCCTTCTCCCTGATGTTTACAAGTCTACTTTTGTGAGCTACAAGCCTGCCAAGGGTTGCCCACCATCTCCTTCCCAGCTGAATGCAAGTGGAGCAGGGCCAGCAGGTTAGCAAGGACCCAGGCTCCTGACAACTCAAATTCAATCTCATCAGCCAAAGTCTTAGTGTGGATCTCTTCTAGATCATCACTCCTGATCCCTCTGAGTTTATTTCCCTCCTGCTTAGCAGGGGAAGCACATCCTATGTGAGGAATAACCTGGGCTAGCCCACTTCATGTCCCAGATAGCTCCTTCTCACAGGGTTTTGATGTGAGGTCCAAGGTGATGTGTTTGGGTTTCTTAAAGTATAGAACACGAACCAAAATGGGAGGGAAGAAGAAACCAGCCAATGAATTTTCCTGGTCTTTATACTGTGGGTAGGGCTTTCCAATAAGGTTTTGCTTAAAGAAAACACCAAAAGAAACCCATCGTGTACACACCCCTCTGCCCTCCATCACCCCTCAGGAAGAACCAGATTGTCACCAGTCCCCTCCACCAGACAACAGCATGGTTAAATATAGCAAGTCCCATAAAATCTAACCCTGTGATCATCCACAGATGGTAAAAAAGACACTCAAGGAGATTCAAAGCAAAGGGGTGATACAGGGGGTGATGCTGTCAGAGTGGCATGGGAATTAGGGAATGGGGCTGAGGGGCAAAAAGGGCTGGATCCACATTCAAAGAGGGTCAAGAAACAGTTGTATAGATAAGAAATTACACACAAGGCTGTATCTTTGTACAAGCACCATGCCCCTTTTTGGGATTATCCTTGGGAAATCCTGGAATGAAATCCACAGGGAGTAACACAGCCTGTCCCCAAGGAAGGTGGAGATGCAGAATGGCCAAGACTGGTAGCAGAGCTGGCAGCTGGAGCTTCCAGCATCTACTGAAACCAAGAAAGCACAGATGAAAACCATGGGACTGTGGACATGACGCCAGTTTTCCCACTGAACCAACTCAGCAGTCACATAGGTAGTGCTGGAAGAGCTCTTTGTAATTCAAACATCAACCTGTCATCAGGGCATCAGAACTAAACAAGCCAGTTACTGTCTGGCTGCGTGCACGCTCCAAGACAGTCACGCTCTTGGCAGGAGCAGGATGCTGCCTCTGCCCGGCACCACAGCCAGTGCTGAGGGCTGCTTCTACTTCTTCAAAGCACTTCAAACTGAGCTTTCAGAGGAGAAGCTCCCCATGACCCGGTGTGTTAGGGTGGCCCCAGGAGCAATGGGTGTTAGCCCCTGCCTTGCCCAGCACCCTCACAGCTGAAATTATGAACCAAGAAGACGCTTGAAGAGCCTGGAGAAGAGAAGGCTGCGTGGAGACCTCAGAGCAGCTTCCAGTATCTGAAGGGGGGCTATAGAGATGCTGAGGAGGGACTCTTCATTAGGGACTGTAGTGACAGGACAAGGGGTAATGGGTTAAAACTTAAACAGGGGAAGTTTAGATTGGATATAAGGAGGAAATTCTTTACTGTAAGGGTGGTGAGGCACTGGAATGGGTTGCCCAGGGAAGCTGTGAATGCTCCATCCCTGGCAGTGTTCAAGGCCAGGCTCAACAGAGCCTTGGGTGCCATGGTTTAGTGCGAGGTGTCCCTGACTATGGCAGGGTGGTTGGAACTGGATGATCTTAAGCTCCTTTCCAACCCAAACTATTCTGTGATTCTAAGAAGTACAGGACCCAGTGCCCAGACCAACAGGGCCACTTAGCAAAGGGTGATGGTACCAGTAAGGTGTGTGATGCTGACTCCTAAGTGTCAGTTGAGCCTTGGTTCATGAGCCAGGTGAGATCTCCGTTCTCAATACGCATCAAGAAGAAAACAAAACCCACAAATATTGTCCATGTGGGCTGCTCACTGTGTATGTTTGATGCCAATTTGATCCATCAGCTTCAAACTGGTACAAGCTGGTAGTGGTGTGGTTGTTATTGAGCCTACACACATAGTCTGTAACCACAGAGCACTATTAACACCAAAGCAGTACCACCAGCTACCAAAGAAACTACATTTATCTCCTCTCTCCTACAGCTGACTTCCAAATCAGTACTTCCAAACCAGTAACTACTTGCTTGTAGTTATTTGAGCCTGTGATCTTTTAATTCCATTTTATTTTTGATAACTTTATGCACTTAAATTACGTTCTTTCCCAAGTTCTTCCAGGATTGTTTGAACAAACCTCCCAAACCAACCAAAGTCCTGATATATTCAAGCTGGCATCTCATCCTTCCCCCCACTGTTTCCCAAAGATATTCCCTATCTTTCAAATGGGAAACGTCACTGGTGTGGAAGTGAGTGGATGCTTTTAAAGGGCATCTCCTTGATGAACTTAAATCCGCACTTCTTAACAAAGGCAAACCTGATGAAAATATAAAGGTTTTCCTTCTCCTAATCAAATTAATGGAGTCAGAAAATGTGCAGCCCTTATAAATGCACACCGAGCTCCAAATTTTCCTCCATGAGCAAAGCAACTTTCGCAAGGAGATCAACATAAAGGAGAATGTTCCCATCCAACAAATACAAGGAGCTGGTTTAAAAGAAGCAATTAGAGAGAGAGAATAAAACACAAGCTGCATTTTCTGCCATAGGCTCTGCTCTGCAGGAAAAGACTGCAGAGTATTTAAAGGAACTGTCTGGGTTAATGACAGCTGATGTCCCGTATCCCATAGCAGTAGTCATGACCTTCAGGCCCTCCATGACTGACAGGCTGACCCCAATCACTCCAGGGTGCAAGGTAAATGACAACCAAAGAAGAAAAAGAAAGAGAAGAGAAAGAAAACTTGCTGCCGGCTTTGTAGCCAAGCTTCCTAATAAAAACTAATTCAAGCTGTCAGGGTGAAATGAAGAAAGTGTCAACAGGGGTTTGCAGAGAAATATTCCAAATGTTTGCCTAGAAAAGCCAAGAGCTGGGCTCCCTTCCCCCAGCCCAACGCTGCTCCTCAAAAAGGGCTGGAAAATCCAATGTCGAAAGGAATTTTAATAACATATCCAAGGGGACCCCTGAGGAGGGACCCAAGGGGACACTTTTCTTCCCTTCCCTGACAAACCCAATCATCCCCGTAATGGTGAGGAGCACAAAACTCACGAGGGAAGTGCCAACGGAGGGGCTGGGTGAAACCAGCATCCGTGTGAAACAGGACCATGCTGGCGGCTTGAGAAACCGAGATGTTTAATGGTGACCCCCGGGTTAAGAGCCCTGGGAGCCACCAAAGAGAACAACCTGCCACCGGTGAAAGGCTGAGATGAAACGGGGGGAGGATGAGAAACCTCCTGTGCTTCCACCTCAACCAATGAGCGACCACGGCCTCCAGCAGAAGATGGAGAGAAAATACCTCCCTACATTGCTACCCCTCACACAAAGGAAGAGAATTCAAACCCTGAAGAGCCCCGTGGAGGCACGGAAACATGGGGCCAGTCCCCAAAACACTGCCCTGGCTTCACAATACACTGGGGCGATGTCCAGGATCGGGCCATGGTGAGGGCATGAAGCTGGCAAGGGAGATAAATAGCCATAGTCCAACCTCGCACTAGTACAGTGCTGTGAACAGAAGGGAAGAAGGATCCCTCCTGACAGTAAAAATCTGGTTATTCATTTATATTCCTTTATTTATTTATATACCTTTATACATACTTTTATATATACCTTTATATATATATATATATACATACACCTTTATTTATTTATTTGTATTTATGTATCTCCACCAAGTTGCACACATCACTGGGTGCAAAATAGAAAGAGCCAACTTGCAGTTTCTGGCACATATAGCTGTTTTCCAACCTCACACACAAACACACAGGCAAAACCAGCATCACGGCAACTTGGGATGGAGGAAGGAGGGTAAAAACAAGGAATATTTTGTAAGCTTTAAGGAAAAGAATAAATAATCAGGTTATTTGCATAGAAACTCCCACGGGAAACAAGAAAAACAAACCCCCTGAAGCAGGGTGAATGAAAACCTCAAGGGCTTTCCTGGCCATGGGCTTCTTAAGGGACATCCAGGGAGTTGCAGATGTTAGACCAGGCACTGACCCAATGACAAGGGGACATCACTAGCTTTCTTAAGACAACCAGATTCATTATTTAGTACAACTCAGTCAGAAAAATCTTGCAGGGAACAAGTTCCCTCACTTTTGTAAAGTTACAACGTGGTCCTGGGCTATTTGTCCCTACATGAGGCAGCTATTTTTGAAGCCTTGGCCATCCCTTTGTACATGAAGGATGCCACCACTGCAAGGAGACCCCTAGCCACCCCAGCCTGGACAAGGTATCCAAGTTAAGCAGCATGAAGGGTTGAGGGAAAGAATTAGTATTTTAAACCTTTTGAGATCCCAGAATCCCAGACTGGCTTGGGTTGGAAAGGACCTTAACGCTCATCCAGTTCCAACCCTTCCACTAAACCAGGTTGCTCCTTTCAACCTGGCCTTGAACACTGCCAGGGATGCTTCAGTGCAGAGCAAACCTCTGTATTCCAACCCCTACCTCACTCATCTCCTACCTCAGGTGAAGGTCTTCCGAAAACTTCAGGCAGGCATAGATGAATTCCTTAATCTGATTGTAAACTTTAGGCACAAACTCAGAAAAGGGGAACTTCTTTGGAAACGGTTGCTGTAAAATAGAGGAGAGGATTCAAGTCGAGGCGCAGACACTGAACAGGAGTGACGAGTGCTTTCCAGCAACGTGTTCCAAGCAGCCAAATCAATTCTGGTGTTTAGCTAAGTCCAGCAATGAAACAACAAGCCAGCATTTATTGTATATTATATAAACATTTCAGCCAAGTGAAAGACCAGATAATCACTTACAAATGGCACATGGGTGCAGAAGGGATTTGGAGTCTCAAACAGGGCTGGAAGGAAACTTGCAGCTATGAGGGAGCAGGCAGCCCACCAGGACCCTCGTTCCCTCTCCTAAACTTCTTAACTCATATGAAAAATCCCCATTGGAGAACGAATTAACTTCTATCTCCCAACACGCACACAGTGTTTGGCTTGGTCACCTCCCATGGTTGCTGCCCAAGGTGAGCACTTGCTTACAACACCAAAAGCCAAGAGGAAACAGATGTCCTACACAAAGCTTTTCCCAACCAGCCTTTACTCACAGGGCTGGGAGGTGCGGAGTGTAACAGTGAGAAGCTGGAGCCCCTGATATAGCTTTGGGGGAAGGACCTCCTGAAATCTAAACACTTGACTTGGATCAAAAAGCCTCCCAGTCCTAATTAAGTTCACCAGGCTTGGAGCTCGCTGGCTGCCAGATGTGCAGCAGAAGGCCAAGCAGGCTTTTAAGGGACACTGGCTAGGTCAGATTTGGTGAGATTTAGGTTTTGCAAGCACACACTTCTACAAAAGCCAAGATATACCGTTTTGTTGGCCTTTTTTTTTTTTTTTAATAAAAGATTAAAACAAATAAAGGTCAACAACAGCTCCTAAACTGGGAATAAAATACCAATGGAAACAGATATTTCTAGTTTCTTGTCCACTGCAGCTGTAATAGCACACTGTGAGCTGAAAACAAAATCAATGAGGTATTGCTATACGCACTTCCCTCACCCACACCAGAAATACATCATATAGAAAGTGCATTTGTTCTTTTCCCTTGTTTTAGGGTTGTTTTTGTTGTTTATTTGGTTTGGGGCTTGAGGTTTTGGGTTTGGTCGGGGATTTTTGGATGCTTTCATTCACAGGTCCCAATGCCAGCTACAAGGGTGCGGGGTTTTCCTGCACCAGCGGCCCCACCGTACCACGTTCCCTGTTTCAAGGTTACCTTTTCAAGTTCTGCATCCTGGAATGGGAACTGTCCAACTATTTTCTTATAAACTTCTTCACTCGTCACTGGGATGGGGCTGTAGTTATCTGAATCAAGTATATTTCTAAGGGAAGAAAAGGAAAGTTACAAAGGATGCTCTGCACATTTACTGCTCAGTTGGGAAGCTCTGAAGAAGTAGGTGCCAGTGTAAGATGCAACCCCCGGGTCTAAACTTCTCCCCATGTTTGTGACTGTTGAAATCGTCTTTGCTGCAGCCAAACTCACTGACAGCTCTTAGTTTGCTGTCTTCAGCCTGTGTAAAGCTATAACCAGAGCTAAAGGTGATTTTACTCCAGACTGGAGCTGCAGCAGCAGCCCCTGATAAAACCCAGGTGAGCTTCAGTCCTGCCTGAAGCAAGAAAGGTGGATGCTGTGCTACCAGGCCTTTAACAATCCTCTAGCACCTATTCTCAATGCTCCATGTTTTCAGATGCCTTAATCCTCCTGGGAGGTCCTAGAGGACCATCACAGGATGAACTGGTAGCTGCAGAGCATAGCATGGGATCCTGGATAGTAAATATATCATATCCTACCACTGGCAAATGCTCAGCTCATGGACATGCCCACACCAGCAGCACAGGGATATGCCACCCATGTCCCAGGACACACACAGCTCACAAGGGCACAGAAATGCTGCTGCAACACCAGCTTTTTGCATCCTGCCATCTACTGACTGCCCTTATCCCCTGGGACGTAAACCCTCTGGTCTACACCAAGTTATTGCACAGATCTCACCACACACAGGATGCTCACAGCTGTCTTTAAATTGTCTCTCCCTGGTCCAAGGAGAGCCCAGGCTGAAGCTTACTGTTCCCCAACATTTAAGCATGAGCTTGCTGCTAATCAAATCATATCATCAAATGGTTTGGGTTGGAAGGGACCTTAAAGCTCCTCCAGTTCTAACCTCCTGCCATGGGCAGGGACACCTTCCACTAGTGCAGGTTCATAGAATCACAGAATAGTTAGGGTTGGAAAGGACCTCAAGATCATCAAGTTCCAACCCCGCTGCCATGGGCAGGGACACCTCACACTAAACCATGGCACCCAAGGCTCTGTCCAACCTGGCCTTGAACACTGCCAGGGATGGAGCATTCACAGTTTCCCTGGGCAACCCATTCCAGTGCCTCACCACCCTCACAGGAAAGAATTTCTTCCTTATATCCAATCTAAACTTCCCCTGTTTCAGTTTTAACCCATTACCCCTTGTCCTATCACTACAGTCCCTAATGAAGAGCCCCTCCCCAGCATACCTATAGGCCCCCTTCAGATACTGGAAGCTGCTCTGAGGTCTCCATGCAGCCTTCTCCTCTCCAGGCTGAACAGTCCCAACTTTCTCAGCCTATCTCCATACAGGAGCTGCTCCAGCCCCTGATCATCCCTGTGGCCTCCTCTGGACTTGTTCCAACAGCTCCATGTCCTTTTTATGTTGAGGACACCAGAACTGCACACAATGCTCCAGGTGAGGTCTCACAAGAGCGGAGTAGAGGGGCAGGATCACCTCCATCGACCTGCTAGTCAGGTTGCTCATCTCTCCTTTATTTTATGAGCCAAAACTGCTCTGTAAGTTACATCTTTGTGAGTTTCCTTAAAGAGCTTCTTACCTGAAAACTCCTGACCATTTCTTCAGCAGGGTTTCACTATACTGGTCTTGGATCTCCAACAGCATGTCAAAGAGCTGGTTCACTGGGAAGCCGTATCCCTGCAGTGGGTCATGAAAGACAGCAACTTCAGGTAAGAAAAAGTCACAAGCAGGCAGCTGAATATTAGTTTCTCTGTTCAATAGAGAGTAAATTCTCCCCTACCATCACCACAGAGATAAATGGTGCTGCAGAAGGGTGAGGTGGTAGGACCAAGGGTTATGGGTCTGTGTGGGGGCAAGAGGCACAAGGACTTGGCAAGGTGGTCAAGGCTTGGTCCTTGCCTATGGGCTGGCCACATCATGTGCAAGGAGAACCAGGCTGTCCATCAGGCACCACAATGCCAAGAAAGAAGCCAGGCCACCACAGCAAGCCCTCATCTGAACCCCTCTGACTGCACCATCTATGATCAGCACAACGTTGAGCAAGACCAAGAGTGGTTACCAACAGCCACGTACCTGCAGTGTATCTGCAAAGAGGACAATGAGGTTCTTCAAGTCTAACACCAGGCTCGGGTCCGAGCAGTAGGACTGCAAAGAAGGGGAGAAATAACAACATGGTTTGAACTGCAGGAAAAATATTGCCCTCAGCCCTCCTGTATTATCACTGCAGTGATAATAAATCCAGAGGCCATGCAGTGCTATGATCAGCAGCTTTTATCCTCCAGCCCATGCCCTAAGGCTGCACAGGGCAAGGGAAGGCATGCTGATAAGGGTATCTCTCCTCATAACACACTGCTCTTGAGGCTCTCCATGATGAATAAGGATTGGGGTTGCTCTAGAGATACCTGAAGTGTCTCTAAGATTACCCAGGAGCTGCTGGGGAAGCGAGAGGAGATGAAGCAAATCAGCACGTTGTCATACCAAGACGACAGCAGCGCCTCTCATTTAATATTTAGTGTGCTGTGTCTGATGGTAATGAAGCATCGCAGCAAGGCATCCCCAAGCCCCATGTGAAGGCTTCAATGCTAAGTGGTTCAGGCTGAGAAAAACCACTCTGTCTGCCTGTATTTCAGAGATATTAATGCTCAGAGCTACAACACAAGTATTTATTGCAGGTCAGGACACTGCTCAAAGCCCTAAAGATACAACCCAGTGTAGCAATAGTGCTCATCGTCCTCCCAAAGCCACCCCATGTTACCCACAGGCTTTGTGGGCTCTCTGGACACAGCAGACATCCTCTCTATGCTGAAATATGTAAGGTTTCAGACAGAGTCTAACCAAATATAGAATCAGCGATCATAAGCTGGAAAGAGAAACAGATTTAAAGCTCGCTGGAAACTCGAGGAGGAATGACTCCATTAATCAACGTGAAAGACTGGAAGAGACACATTTTCCACTTCACTGTCCAAAAAAGAAAGTCAGAAAGAAAGATAACACCCTGAAGCTATCAGAAGTGATAAAAGATGTCCCTGTCTGCAGCAAGGAAGAAAAGCCAGGGATATGTTTGGCTGAATGGGAAGAACTGAAGCAGGCTGACCAATGTGAGAGCCCTCCCTCAAGTCTCAATGGCACTGCTCTATACAGGAGCAGCGCTTAGAGATAAAAGTGATGACCATGATACTGCAACATTCCCTGCCCATGGCAAGGGGTTGGAACTGGATGATCTTTAAGGTCCCTTTCAAACCAAATCATTCTATGATTACTGAAAAACCCCTCTCCTGGCAGCCATTTCATGCATTAGGTTTGGCATCACTTAAAACAACTTGTCATGGCAACAAAGCTGGTAAGACTGAAAACCACCGTGTTTGGAGCTGGCTTGTTCTCATGACTCTCACCTTGCAGAAAACCCCACTTAAAAAGAAAATAAACACAGGTTTAGAACCTAGCAGGGTGTACATCATTGTGTTTATCCCCTTTTGGAACAGAGAAGCTTAAATGGAAGAAGACCTCATAGCAGCCTTCCAGTATCTGAAGGGGGGCTATAAGGATCCTGGGGATGGACTCTTCATTAGGGACTGTAGTGATAGGACAAGGGGTAATGGGTTAAAACTGAAACAGGGGAAGTTTAGATTGGATATAAGAAAGAAGTTCTTTAATGTGAGGGTGGTGAGGCACTGGAATGGGTTGCCCAGGGAGGTTGTGAATGCTTCATCCCTGGCAGTGTTCAAGGCCAGGTTGGATGAGGCCTTGGGTAATATGGTTCAGAGCGAGGTGTCCCTGCCCATGGCAGGGGGTTGGAACTGTATGATCTTAAGGTCCTTTCCAACCCGAACTATTCTATGATTCCATCAGGCAGCTTTTCAGTCAGCACAACTGCTGTGCTGGATGGAGCCAGAGCACCCAAGGAAGCCTCTGTGGTCCCTCATCCCAACAATCTGGTCCATCACCTGGACAACCCCTATCTGCACCGGGAAAGCCAAGCAGCTCACCAGCAACACTGCCAGGGGGAGACCAAGATAAAGTCATGGGCACCTAAATGCAAAACTCAGCAGGGTTTGGAGCAAGCAGCACTTTGTGTCTGCACACAGAGGGACACCCTCCCTGGCTACATACAGGTCAAGGGAAGGGATCCTCCCCCTCTGCTGTGCTGTGGGGAGAGCCCTCCCTGCAATCCTGATCCAGCTCTGCCCGAGGGGAGACTGAGCTGAGCTCTTAGGCAGAAGCTCTTCCCTGTGAGGGTGCTGAGGCGCTGGCACAGGGTGCCCAGAGAAGCTGTGGCTGCCCCATCCCTGGCAGTGCTCAAGGCCAGGTTGGACACAGGGGCTTGGAGCAAGCTGCTCCAGTGGAAGGGGTCCCTGCCTATGGCAGGGGTTGGAGCTGGAGGAGCTTTAAGGTCCCTTCCAACACAAACCAGTGTATGATTTTATGACATCTTTATCATTTGGGTACCACCGAACGCATGCTGCACCACACAACCCTGCAGCATGCTCTTGCTATCAGATGGCACTGCCATCCCTGAGCAGCAGTGGGATCTCAGGAATCTACTACTTTGTTTTTCCTGGACAACATGGCCCAACAATTTGAAAGTGGACTTGTGCACAGTCGTTAATGCTTTTGCTTTCATAGAATCATAGAATAGTTAGGGTTGGAAAGGACCTTAAGATCATCCAGTTCCAACACCCCTGCCATGGGCAGGGACACCTCGCTCTGAACCATATTACCCAAGGCCTCATCCAACCTGGCCTTGAACACTGCCAGGGATGGAGCATTCACAACCTCCCTGGGCAACCCATTCCAGTGCCTCACCACCCTAACAAGAAAGAATTTCCTCCTTATATCCAATCTAAACTTCCCCTGTGTAAGTTTTAACCCATTACCCCTTGTCCTATCACTACAGTCCCTAATGAAGAGTCCATCCCCAGCATCCCCATACACCCCCTTCAGATACTTGGAAGGCTGCTATGGAACTTTTTCATCCCATTAACCAAAAGGGTTTTCAGGAAATTCCAGTGCTCCCAGCTGAACCAGTACATTACCTCAGCTCACACAAAATGGGGCAAAAAACTGTGTCTTTGTTGCAGTTTGGCTTTGGATGTTTTGCTCAAGCAGAGAAATACCAAACAGATCAGCAATCTTCCCAAACTTCTTTCAGTATTAAAACATACAAAATCTGTTTATTGTCTTTTACACACAAATGATCTGATAGCAACCCATTCGCTGCCATGAACTTTAAAGGTTGTACTTCGGTGCACCAAATAGACACTTTTTTTCCCCGGTTTTCCAGCACAATCCGACTCCCTCTGCTGGTGCTTCCCAAAAGTGATCAGCCAAATAACAGGAAAAAATCAAACCACTGTTTTCTTTCTTTCCAGTCACCCAAAACATTGAGAGTTTGGTGCAGGGAAATGCAGAGCATCAAGAGGCAAAAAAAGAGAGAAGGCTTAAGGGGAAAGCTCCCCATGACCCAGCTTCAGTGAGCGCTTGAGCCCAGAACCCCCCCATGTGCTGGGTGCACCCCCAGAGAGTGAGCAGCAGCTCAGGGAGGGGATCCTGCCCCTCTGCTGTGCTCTGGGGAGACCCCCCCTGCAGCCCTGATCCAGCTCTGGGGCAGCAGCACAAGAGGGACGTGGAGCTGTTGGAGCGAGGCCAGAGGAGGCCATGGAGATGCTGCGAGGGCTGGAGCAGCTCTGCTCTGGAGCCAGGCTGAGAGAGCTGGGCTGGGGCAGCCTGGAGAAGAGAAGGCTCCTGAAGGGGAGACCTTAGAGCAGCTCCAGTGCCTAAAGGGGCTGCAGGAAAGCTGGAGAGGGGCTTGGGACAAGGGCCTGTAGGGACAGGCCAAGGGGAATGGCTTGAACCTGCCCGAGGGGAGACTGAGCTGAGCTCTTAGGCAGAAGCTCTTCCCTGTGAGGGTGCTGAGGCGCTGGCACAGGGTGCCCAGAGAAGCTGTGGCTGCCCCATCCCTGGCAGTGTTCAAGGCCAGGTTGGACACAGGGGCTTGGAGCAAGCTGCTCCAGTGGAAGGGGTCCCTGCCTGTGGCAGGGGCTGGAGCTGGAGGAGCTTTAAGGTCCCTTCCAACCCAAACCAGGGTTGGGATTCCATGAAATAGCAGTGTTCTTCACACTGTTATTTTAAGCAGGATTTTTGGAAAAGAGGCACAACAAAGAATCCCAGTGTAAAAGCCAGTATTTCCAGCATGTCAAGTCATACTCAAGCAACAGCTGAGCAACCCGAGGCTTTTACTTACTGAATGTGTTCTTAGTGCTGCAATAGTTTTTGATAACGCCATCTCCCACAGCTCATCAATATAGGCTCTATTTACCAAGCCCTGCGTTGTATGCAAGATGTGATCTTCAACTACAAAAAACCTAGCAGAGAGGAGAAAATGGCACTGTTATCAGAAGTCCCAGGTTCTGAGACATCCAAAGAGATCTTCAAACACTGGAGGCGAAGGATATACAGCATTTGCACATCCACAAATCCCCAGAGCAAGCTCAGATTTGCAGTAAAGTGCATTAAATATGGTTAATGCTAAGCACTTTATCCACCTATTTTTAACATCACAACATTTTATGATGTCTCACTGTATTCTATAAGTGACCTAAACCACGGTTGCTCCTTGTAATGCCACTGTGTGTATACAAAGGCAGAATTTCCCCTTTCTAAGTTCCCCACCCCGTTATTTCAACAAGAACCACTGATTAAACCCTGCTCCAGTCAGCAGCAAGCACTTTACAAGTGGTTAACTGCAGGGAAGAATGCCCTATCCACAGGGAAAACTGCTTTAAGTGTAGGGAAAATACCCTCTCGCACCGGGATACCCCACAGGCTCACAACTATTTCAAGGCAATCAGTTCACTCCAATCTCCAGTTATCAAACAGCCTGGCCAAAAAGAAACTGGATTTTCCAGGGAGTGAGCGTGGCACTGGACGTTTTAAACAGCAATGGATAAGATCTCCAAGCTGGGTTCTGATGGGGAAATTCAGCCCAGAAGCATGGCGCTGGGTGAGGAGCACCCATTGCACTTGTGATGGGTGTAATTAGATGTTGAAATTATTACTGTCAGCTGAAGATATTTCAACATCATCCCCTATCTCTGATACATTAATGGGCTTAGGTTGCCTCCTCTGACAGCTCAGCTGCTTTTGGAAGACTCTGGTCAAATTTGAGCACAGTAAGAAGCAACTCATAGGACCAGAGGTTTGGGAATCACCTTCCTTTACCAGGAAAATAATCAAAGAATAATTATCCAATATGAAAAAATAATTAAGGCAGAGGCCCATTCATCTCATTAGTGGGGCAAGTAGGTGCACATAGTCCACAGAGGTTATTCAGCCTCAAATCCCCAGCAATGACCTTGCTGGTACAAGAGCTGGCAGGTTCCTCCACGCTCCCACCAGTGGCACAGCAAAGCTCATGGGTATAAAATACACTCTAAAAGCCCAAACTACCTTTCCCCCCCTCTGTTTTGGGCTCTGTTTAAAGGCCCTGAAGGACATCAACATTCCCTCCTCTCTTTCTTTTTGGGCTCCTCAACAACACAGCACACACATATTTAGCAAGGACATGTATAAAAAGAACACCTACCCTACAATTTGATTAAAATACTTCCTGTAGCCGTCTAACGTTTCGTGCTGCAACAAAGAAGAAGCGAGCAAAGATTAAACCAAAGGTGGCCAAGAGCAACTGGAAATGAATTAGAGACTGTCCCACCAGCAACAGCACACCCAGAGATAACTAACGCTCCGCTCTGCTACTCGGCATAGCAAGTTTGGGTACTGTGAGTAGAGCATCGTACCATGTTGGAAGGAGGCTGCAGGACCAATCTGGCTTGTTTTCTTCTCTGTTTCCTGTAGTAGTTCTCAAAGGTTTCTCGGGCACCCTGGAAAACAGGAACGATTCATTGAAGTTGTTGTAATGGTGTGCATTAACTACAAACTCGTGATGTACTGGATTTACTGTTGAGCTGCGATATCCTGCGCTTCAGAGGCAAATCTCATACTCCTCCAATGTATCTGAACAACATTGCTGCAAAATGCCACCCAAATATCAGAAGATAAGAGTTTTACTGAAAACACTAATCCAAACTACAGCTGTTCAGGTGTAACAGTATCTGATGAACTCTTCTATACCTATTTTCCAGTATCACTGTGCAGATGTGGTGTATAGAGGTGTGCAACCAGGTTCTCTGCCAGACCATGACACAGACAAACATCAGAGTTAACCCCGGGGCACTGAAACAACCAATTTCTAGTGTGAGCAAAAAGCAGCAGGGCACAAACAGTGCCAGAAATTCTTCCACTGATTCATGGGTGCAGAATGATGCAAAGCCACAAACATCAGGGAATTTCAGCAAAATGTGTTTGTATGTGTGAGAGAGTCACAGAAGCACAGAATCATTGAAAGCTTTGGTATGGGTTGGAAGGGATCTTAAAGCTCCTCCAGCTCCAACCCCTGCCACGGGCAGGGACCCCTTCCACTGGAGCAGCTTGCTCCAAGCCCCTGTGTCCAACCTGGCCTTGAGCACTGTCAGGGATGGGGCAGCCACAGCTTCTCTGGGCACCCTGTGCCAGCGCCTCAGCACCCTCACAGGGAAGAGCTTCTGCCTAAGAGCTCAGCTCAGTCTCCCCTCGGGCAGGTTCAAGCCATTCCCCTTGGCCTGTCCCTACAGACCCTTGTCCCAAGCCCCTCTCCAGCTTTCCCGCAGCCCCTTTAGGCACTGGAGCTGCTCTAAGGTCTCCCCTTCAGGAGCCTTCTCTTCTCCAGGCTGCCCCAGCCCAGCTCTCTCAGCCTGGCTCCAGAGCAGAGCTGCTCCAGCCCTCGCAGCATCTCCATGGCCTCCTCTGGCCTTGCTCCAGCAGCTCCACATCCCTCTTGTGCTGCTGCCCCAGAGCTGGATCAGGGCTGCAGGGGGGTCTCCCCAGAGCACAGCATCCTTTACCTTAAAGCAATTTATGAGTCCAGTCTATATAGTTGGGAAGAATAAAACAGATTCCTGAGCTTCTGTCCTCCACCGGCATCTCCACCCATGCTGGGCGCTGCAGCAGGGACCTGAGCTGCTCCTGCAGGAGCTCCATCTGTAGGTGGTTGTTTTACCAAGCCAGGCTATGTCTGAGCATCACCACCCAGGCAGCAAACCCATGAGGATCCTCAAATGCCATCGACGTGCTGAAGCTTTCAGATGTCCGCCTACCGCCCCGGTCCCCTAGGCTATGGAAAACCTTGTCGTTTCATCCCTGCCTGTTCCTCCCTCCTCCACACCCGTGTTGTTTTATGTCTGAAATCGGGTTATAAACACTTCAGAGAAGGGACAAGGCCTTGCTTTGAACTGTTCCGAGACAATAAAACAAAAGATCTCATTCTGAAGGCAGAAAACAAACACCCCACAACAACAAATATCACCTGAGCGAGGCACCAGACGTCAGCCTTCCCTGCTACAAAAAATAAAGGAATTAAAAGGAAAACCTGGTGCTAATTTAAAGATCCAGCAGCTACTATGGCATTACACAACCAGGCTGCCTTAGGATGCTCCACTTATGCTTATGAAATGTCTGCAATGAGCCCTTGAGGAGCTGTGGCCTGACTTGCTCCTTGACTTCTACAAGACGGAGCTCAAGGCTTAAGGGAAATCTCAGCCTTGCTGATGCTTCCAGCAGCATTCCCATCAGTGCTGCCCTTCCCAATGGAGCTATAATGCATCAAAACACCTTCTTGCCACCATGCACATGCACTGCGAGGATTTGGCAGATTTATGGTGTGGATTTTGTCTCTGAATTCCACTTCTTATTGTAACCGAGTGGCAGGATGCATTGGATGAGGAGCTCCTGACACATGCTGGGCACATCCATCCAATCATCCATGGTCCAAACCCCCTTGGCAAGGGACAAATCTGAATAGGTGTAAATCCAAGGCTTTTCCTGCAATCAAGTTTGAACCTACAAATAACCTGACACTTGAAGAAAGCTTTTCAGAAGCACAAACTAGTTGGGAACCAGCATTTCCATGTCAGATGTCTTCTTAATGCTCCCAAAACCTGTCTCCATGGCCCATGAGCCAGAAATTGGTGATCCACAGGTCAGACCCAGAACAGGGAGGATTATTACAGGCTTTTATCAAGATAAGGACTTCCAAAGACATAAGCCAGGGAGTTCCCTCCCATGGAGCTCCTCTTCCAGCCCTGGGAGCTGCTGCTTCTGAGGATGCTGCTGTCACCCACTTCCTTTCCATTTTGGGGACGCCACAGGAGAACCACGACAGAACAACTTGTCCCATTCCCACCTTGTCACTGATGTGAACACGCTTCAGATACATATTAAATCCTGCTGTGCCTCATCTCTCAAAACCTACACAAGTGGCACAAAAACCTCCTCATCACCTCTGTCCTGACCATGAGAGCAACTCAATCTCTGGGAGCATCACTGAGATCTGAAGGTGAAGCTACTCATTAACCTCGCACAGCTCCTTCACCACTAAGGACAAACCACAAAGCAGTCTTCTATCCCTATTTCACTGATGCCTTTGAGGAAGATGAAGCATCTGGACCAACTCCATAATGTTCTCTGAAAATCAAACTATTTGGCTTACACTTTCAGAGGAAAAGTACGTTCTCCACAGACACAAGAAGCAGGAGTGACCTGAGCTGGGCTGGAGATACCACACAATGGATTCACTATGAACCCTTCTCTCCACCTTGGAAAGAAGCCCCTTGAGCCTCACAGTGTGTGCTTAGAAGGTTTTGGATACCAGGTCCTCCTTGTTCCAGCCCAACAAATGGCTTCAACTGTAGTACAAAAGAAGGAACAGCAATGACACTGGAAAACACTCCCAAAAAACCAAAACCCATATTCACATTTTAACAGTTTCCCTAAAATTTATGGCCTAGAAACCTGACAATTTGACCAAAATCATCTCCTTTCCAACACACTGATCCCTGTATTTCCTTTCTCAAGCCTTTTTTGGCTGCTCCAGGAATTGGGGACTCTAAGCTACTCCAATGAAAAACAACTGCTCCCAAGAAAATCTCTCTTGGCACTATCCATGTTTTTCTGGTGCACAACTTCACCCTTTTCTCTCAAGCATAATTCTCCACCACCTCCTTAGATCTTTTCATCACTCAAGTATTATATTCCCCTCAAAATGGGAAGTCTTTCTTCCTCTTGGTGGCAGTTTTAGCTTAGACCACACTGCTCATCACATTTGACCCTATCTATGACTATTCAATTTATCAGATCTTCAGATAATGTCATTCCTCTGTACTCTATTTTCTTCCTCTGGGTAAAAAAATCCCAAAAGCAGAAAACAGACAAATAGAAATAAACCAAAAAAAGTACTCAGAACAGGCCAAAAGACCCATTGTTTTCGAGGCTACTCATTTGAAACACCATGCAGTATTTATACTTCAATCCTGTTCCTCTTTTCCAGCCCTACACCTGGTGGTTCTTCAAATTCAACCAACCTCATCCTTACCTCCAGTTTTCAAACGCAGTATTTTGGGACCTAAATGCTGTACATGAGGTATCAGAAGTGGCTTTAAGGGCATCACTGAGCCAACCAGGCTGTCCAGGCTCAGCCTCCTGTAGCAGCCACCAAAGCTCAGTGAGGTGTGAATCTCCATGTCCCTTTGGTGAGAAACAGCCCAACTTTTTTCTTTCCTTTCCCGAGAAAGCCCCTATTTTATCCTAAAAAGATGCCTTGCACCTGCAAGGTGTTTTGTTTCATCTAAAACCATGATGTTGACGCACATCTCAAGTGGCACATGGCATGTCTGAGAACAAGAACCCCTTGAGAAAGACTACTGAGGAGCAATTCCCAGCTCCAACCTCTCATGGACTTCCAAACCCACCACTGACCTTCTGCAGAAGAAAGATCATAGAATCATAGAATCACAGAATAGTTTGGGTTGGAAAGGACCTTAAGATCATCAAGTTCCCACCCCCATGCCATGGGCAGGGACACCTCACACTAAACCCAAGGCCTCCTCCAACCTGGCCTTGAACACTGCCAGGGATGGAGCATTCACAACCTCCCTGGGCAACCCATTCCAGTGCCTCAACACCCTCACAGGAAAGAATTTCCTCCTTAGATCCAATCTAAACTTCCCCTGTTCCAGTTTTAACCCGTTACCCCTTGTCCTATCACTACAGTCCCTAAGGAAGAGTCCATCCCCAGCATCCCTATAGGCCCACTTCAGATACTGGAAGCTGCTCTGAGGTCTCCACGCAGCCTTCTCTTCTCCAGGCTGAACAACCCCAACTTTCTCAGCCTATCTTCATATGCTTCTAATACATCTCATTACAGAGGCAGCATCCTTGCTCCTTCTGGGTTTCTTGTGGGCTCAGCTCATAAGACATGTGGAAATCAAGCAGTCATGGTGGGGAGAGGAGAAGGGGGTCCCTTTCCTAGGGAGGTTTTACCCAATTCTCAATCTCTTTAAGGAGCAGGAAGAACCCAAAGCCACGTTTCCAAACAAGACATTTATTACAGTCATTGTCCAGGAAAAACCCTCAATAATGCCTCATCTTTTTAAAATTACTGGGCAGAGCTTTCCTTCTCCAATGAGCTTCAGGACTTCCCAGACTTGGCAATGAAAGGCAGACAATTAAGCTCATGGATGAGCACCACAGAAGGGAAAACAGAATGCAAGAATGCAAAAACAGCAGCTGAAAAAAAACCCAAGAGTTTCCTAATTCAGGAGCAGCAGAGAGCTGAGAGCAAATCTACGTGTGAATTACATCGGGGGGAACTTACTGTAAGCGTTATCCTGCTGTTGTCCTCAAAATGTCCAGTAAAATGGGAATCCTGGATGCAGAACATGTAGATGACAATAGTTTGGACTACTAAATTTCTGCTTACCTGGCGGCAGAAATACACCCTGTGTTCTTC